TAAATTGTAACGAGAATTTTTTATCTACAAGAAGCTATCTACTCAAGAGCTCAAACATTCAAATTGTTGGTCCGCCTGCAGCAATTCCCACGTTAATGTTATGTCCAGATTGCACTACCCTGCTATGGTAAAGGAAAGCAGCCATATAAATGCCATACCTGTTATCTTGAAACAAAATGGAGGCAGCCATAGCATACCAATAACCCAAGTGGCATGTTGTTAATGCTCACTGGCATAAATTAGGAATAGATTTTGTGACAGATATCTGTCCTGAAACTTTTTAGTAGTACAGCGCATAAACAGAGAATGCTTAAGAATTCCAAACCTGTCTCTGTCCTCTAAAAGACTGGTTCTGATTGTCAGCAGCTACACTAATTAATCAAGGGGTAAATTTTAATCTGCACAATTAAAGCCTAAGTTGATTTATTGCACTGGCTAAATCAATAAAAGTCTGCATCTCTACAAGCAATGCTCCCAACTCAAAGGATTTGGAACCATTTTAGCTATTTCCTTTCTTGAATTAAAGGAAAACAAACATCTCCCACCTGTATTCAGATAGCTGTTCGTCTCAGCCCATGTTCCTTGCAGGAGCTGCAGGTTGGGTTTCTGTCTTTTCTTGCAGCAAGGGAGTCTGCTCTGCATTACTTATTTGTATTGGAAATTCCAGATAGACAGTCACGATAAAGGTCAATTCTTAGCCCATCACCTTTGTGATTTGAATCTGCCGTTCAGCTGAACTTTGGTATTTTTTTAAAAAATAAAATAAAAATAGAACACGCTCTTTTGAATATACAACATATTAGTGGCCCAGATACTTTGAAAGTAATTTGAGAAAAAGCATTCATTGTTCTGCTGCCTCTCCCAAAGGTCCAGTCAGCCTGAAGCTCAATAATACAATAAGCAACCAAGAAATTATATTTTCAAATACATTTTCATCAAACCTTCAGTGTATCTGTCAGCTGCACTGTGAGTGAATCTGATCCTGTTTGAAAGGTGCTGCATAATTCCTGTCATTGATGAATATATTTGTAAGAAAATATTTGAGATGTATCCTTAAAATTCCCCTGCTGAGGCAAGTTAGGCTGATTTTCATGAGTCTTGCATCGCCAGAGTGCAGGGAGGGGTGGATTGCTCAAAGTTGCCTTATCCTCACCCAAACCTGCTCAGTATCTTCTTCCTTCATGCCTGACAACCACAAAGCAATCTTAAATATTTTATGGCAACAAGAAACTATTTTAAGCTCATAGGCATCATTTAAACTTTCCGGATAGTATAGTTACAAGCAGTTTTGTGAATTATTCAGAGTAAAGGGGAACAGCCTTTAGATGGAGTGCATGTTTGTGTGTGTGTGTGTGTGTGTGTAGGTTACACATTTAAAAGCTTCTCTATTCCTTGGCTCACATTAGAGGAAATTAGACTTGTTTCTGTTTTTAATCACAGATTTATTTTTTAAAAAAACAAAAAGTAGAAATTGCAGAAGTTTTTTAAAAGCAAAGGCTGTTGTGCGTTGAGAGCACAAGGGCCAAATTTTAAACAGCACTTTCCACCAATAAGTACAATAAGTACAATCCTGAATTAAGGATCGTAAGAGCCAAAATAGATTTTTGGCAGCAGACACACCACTGATTGCAGCCAAACAAGCAGGAGGCCGTGGCTTGGTACCAGCAGCAGGCAGGGAAGGCATGCCTAACCTTTTCACTAACCACCATTTTCCTCATGAGATTTTCTTTGGAGTGTTTTTTCAGGCTGTGGAAATTGCTCTCCAGGAATAGTTTCAAGGAAGGCTGATCTATTGCATTGTAGAGACTGGGTCAAGCTGCTTTGTCTACCCTAATTTACTAACAAACAATTTGGGCTGGTTTAGTACAACTTGGAAATTCCACTCCACTGAATTAGGTCATGGTCTAAAATCTGTTTGTTCCCTTTGCCACGTAATTGATTCTGCATGTAATTTCATTTTTAGGATGGGAGATGCTGCCTTTCTTTGAAACTGAAAAATATCTTACACATCAGAAGAAATATATAGATTGATCATACAAATGCTTTTCTTGCAGTCAGTTGCAAGGACCACATTGATCACACAATCCAGGGACATAGAAAGTGACATCAGAAAGGATCAGTAATGAAATGAACTTCTTTGTTAATTCCCCAGAATGTCCATATATCCAGTAGTCTCAGGTGTATTGAGAGCAGACATGCAGTTAATCAGAAGCTGGGTAAGTAGTTATATTGGACATGATGCCATAACCCTTGGGGTGGCTGATAAAATGAAAAACCTGCTGAGGCACATTTCAATGTTAGGGTTGTGAAAAACTGGCCTGACTTTGTCTGGGTTTAAAAGTAAAACAACATTGGCCAAGTTAATCTCTGGATGGGAAGCATCTAGGGAATATCAGGTATGTTAGTCCCACTAGAAAGAACACACCAGGAAATCAATTCCACTGTAAGGCAAAAAGCATTTTATTGAAATAAAATGCATTTTATTTTATTGGGCTATAATAGCAGGTTCTTGCAAGTATGCTAGCGCTGTACCTGTCGTCGTCATCCCCCTTTTCATCTTCCCATGAGGATAAGACCAACGTCTGCCTGAGCCACTTCTGAATGCTATCATGTTTCTTTGGACTTAAAAAATGCTTAGATAACAGTTCTTGCCTACTAGATCATCTAGATTGTTATGTCCTTATAAGGACATCTGCCCTGATTGGCTGTTAGCCATCGGGCGGGAGATTTGAATCCCTGTCAAGGGACGGTGCGTCTGCCAGGAGCGAATATAAGGAGAGCTCCGGCAGCGCACCAGCGGTCTTGTCTTGTTACTTTTGTAGCTAATAAAGTTACTAATGTATCGAGCTGGTCACGTCTTCATTTCCTGCGCCTGATCTAACACTGGCGACGAAGGACTAGAGAGGAGAACCTGATCAAGACTCGTGGCACGATCGCCCACCGAGCTGAAGGCACGAAACCACAGCGACACTCAGAATGGCAACTCCGCAAGCCCCGATTGCCGCTCTGAACCCATTCGACCCATCCCGAGAGAAGTGGAGGTCGTACATGGTCCGATTTCGGCAGTTCCTGCGAGGCAATGGCTACCAGAACCTCGACGATGAGCGGAAAAGAGCCCTCTTCCTGGCTCACTGCAGATCGGACGTCTTGGAGATGGCGATTGACCTCGTGGCACCCAGGGACATTGAGGAGATGTCCTGGAACGACCTGCAAGAAGCCCTGCAGGAGCATTACGCACCCACAGGCACCCCAATCGCAAACAGGTTCACCTTCCAGCAGAGAAACCAGCGGGAAGGTGAATCCATCAAAGAATTTGTGGCAGCGCTTCGCCAAATCGCTGCCAACTGCGAGTTCGATAACGTGGACAACGCCATCCGAGACCACGTTGTGTTTGGAATGCAAGATGTGGGTCTGCAAAAGAAGTTCCTCAGCCGAAAGAGGATCCCACTCAAAGACGTCCTCGACGAAGCAACAGCGGCTGAAACATCCGAGAAGGCAGCCGCCGCGATGGTAAAAGCTAGAGGGATCCATAAGATCCACAAGTCGGGTCTGACCTCATCAGACGACTCAACCACGCAATCCGAGTCTGATGAGGAAAGGGCCATCCACAAGGTTTCCCGTCCCCCCAGGCGGGAAAACCCACAGCAGGGCGACCGGGGAGAACGATGCGGCAGCTGCAAAGGCGACCACCCCAGGGCAACCTGCAGATGGAGGGACGCGACCTGCCGCCGATGCCTGAAGAGGGGACACATCGCCGAGGCCTGCAGAGCAGCAGATCCAGCCCCGGAACTGCCCAGGCCACGATTCCGCGAGAATCGCAAAGATAACCAGAGGACATCCAAACGGTCCTCGAACCAGTCCCGGCGCGGGGAGGACGACTATCCCCGCAGCAGAACGGTGCACCAGACAACCATTGCTCACACAAGTGACGAGGGGACCACCAAGTTCTACGTGACGCTGATGGCGGAAGGGTCACTGTGCAAGATGGAGGTAGACTCTGGATCCGCCTACTCCATCATGGACTGGCAGCACCTACAGCAGCTGAAGCCATCCTGCAAGAAGACCCAGCTGAAAACCCCGAAGTCGAGGCTTGTGGACTTCAACGGAAATCCCATCGGAATCCTGGGCAGAACCACCATCCACATCAAATACAAGGACTTTAACGGAGAGCTGCCCATCACCATCGTGGAGAACAGCCGACCGAACCTGTTAGGAGTGGAGTGGTTTAAGCCGCTGGGGCTTTCCATTGAGGGCATCCACGAAATCCATAGGGACGAACTCGACACCATCCTCGAAGAGTTCAAAGAAGTCTTCGATGGTAAGCTGGGGAAATTTGTGGGGAGGCCAATTTCCTTCAATCTGGACAAGGGAATCACCCCAATTAGGCTTAAGCCCCGCCGAGTTCCGTTTGCCCTGCGGCCTAAAGTAGACGAGCAGCTGGATAAGCTGATCGCCCAGGGCGTCCTGGAACAGATCGATCATGCCTCATTGGAGACTCCCATTGTGACCCCACTGAAGCATGATGGGTCTGTGCGCATCTGCGCCGACTACCGTTGTACCATCAACAAGGCATTGGCACAGAGCGCATACCCAGTCCCAGTAGTGCAACACCTGCTGCACTCCCTGGGATTTGGCTCAATTTTCGCAAAACTGGACCTGGCCCAGGCTTACCAGCAACTGCCAGTGGATGAAAAAACGGCGGAGGCACAAACAATTGTAACGCACAGGGGGGCATTCAAATGTAACCGCCTCCAATTTGGAGTCAGCGCTGCCCCCGGCATTTTCCAATCTATGATGGAACGCCTTCTCCAAGGCGTTCCAGGGGTGGTGCCTTACTTCGACGATGTGCTCATCTCTGGTGACTCAAGAGCTCAACTCCTTGAAAGGCTCAGGCTTGTCCTGCAGCGGTTCAAGGCCAAGGGCTTGAGGGTCAGGCGGGACAAGTGCATCATAGGAGTACAGGAAGTCGAGTTCCTAGGCTATCTCATTGATAGCACTGGCATCCACCCCACCAAATCAAAAGTGGAAGCAATCCATGAAGCTCCAAGCCCAAAAAACAAAACGGAGCTTCAGGCTTTCCTTGGGTTGCTCAACTTCTACGCCATTTTCTTAAAACAGAAAGCCACAGTTGCTGAGCCACTCCACCGCCTGCTGGGGAAATCGGCTTCCTGGAAGTGGGGCCAGGAAGAGGAAGCAGCATTCCGGGCCATCAAAGGACTATTGACGTCCAAGAGCGTCCTCATCCAATACAGCAAGACGCTCCCCATCAAGCTGACCTGTGATGCGTCGCCTTACGGGGTGGGGGCAGTTCTCAGCCACGAACTGCCCAACGGCTCGGAAGCCCCGATCGCTTACTTCTCGAAGACCATGTCCGGCGCAGAACGGAACTACAGCCAGCTGGACAAAGAAGCCCTGGCCATCGTGGCAGGAGTGAAGCGCTTCCACGAATACCTCTACGGAAGACGCTTCACCGTAGTCACTGACCACAAGCCACTCCTGGGACTCCTCGCAGGCGACCAACCCACCCCGACCTTCATGTCCCCACGGATGACGAGATGGGCCATCTTCCTAGCCGGCTACTCCTATAGGCTCGTGCACCAGCCAGGCACAGCCATAGGAAATGCCGACGCACTCAGCAGATGCCCATCGAAGAATCCAGTCGAAGACCCAGCCCCCACGCTCCACCTATTCCACATAGACGATGACGCCAGCTGTCCAGTCTCATCCGCAGATGTGGCCGTTCACACCCAAAAGGACCCCACACTCCGCCAAGTGAAGTCCTGGATCCTCAGAGGGTGGCCATCGGAAAAGACAGAGGAGAGGTTCAGCCCGTTCGCCAGGAAACAGAAGGAGCTGTCCACCATTAAGGGCTGTCTGCTATGGGGAGACAGGGTGCTGATTCCAAGCACTCTGCAACGGCGAACATTAGAGACTCTGCACAAAGGGCATCCGGGCATCGTCCGCATGAAGGCCCTGGCACGGAGTTATGTCTGGTGGCCCTCCATGGACAGAGACATTGAGCAATGGGTCTCCAGATGTGACCCGTGCCAAGAAGTTCGCCCAGCGCCGCCGCAATCCGAAGTCGCAAAGTGGGAGACCCCCAGCAACCCCTGGTCGAGGATCCACATCGACTTCGCGGGTCCGATGCAGGGGCGACACCTCCTCATCGTGGTAGATGCCTTCTCCAAGTGGCTCGAGGTGGTACCCATGGCATCTACCACAACAGAAGCGACGATCCGAGCCCTGCGCCGTCTGTTCGCCACACATGGATTACCGGACGTGCTGGTCTCGGACAACGGCCCCCAGCTCACATCCCTGGCCATGGAGTCCTTCCTGGCAGGACAGGGCATCCGCCACGCCCTGTCCGCCCCGTACAGGCCGGCCGGAAACAGACAAGCTGAACGCATGGTCAGACTCACCAAAGAAGCCCTCACCAAGATGGGCCCAGGAGACTGGCAAGAACGCATAGATAACTTCCTCCTCACCCAGCACATCACGCCGCATGCCACCACCCACAAGAGCCCGGCCGAACTAATAATGGGCAGAAGGTTGAGGTCACCCTTGGACCGGCTGCACCCCCAATACAGCCCAGAAGTGATCGCAACCGCCAGCCGCCCGCTTCGCGCCTTCAGCAAGGGAGATTCAGTTTTCGCGCTGAATTTCAACGGCTCTCCTAAGTGGCTGAAGGGGAAGATTGCCAGCACAACCGGCCCCAAATCCTACACCATAGAGTTGGAAGATGGACAGGTCTGTAGACGGCACATCGACCAACTCTGGAAAAGGTGGGGGGAGCACATGAAAACCAGCCTGATGAGGTAGACCTACCACACCCCGACGAGGTAGGCCTACAACACCCCGGCAAGGTAGGCCTACGACACCCCGACGAGGTAGGCCTACCACACCCCTGCGAGGCAGAGCAACGCCATCCCGACGAGGTCGGCCCGGCACACTACCAGCTACTGTCACGTCGGCAGTCCAGCGAGGTAGACCGGGGCCAACCACACGGGAGATGGCAACACCAACCCAGCCAGGTGGGCACCCGGCACAACAGGGCCAGGGACCACCAACCCAGCCCGCAAGTAGACCAGGACCTGCCCAGAGGAGGAGCAGCGCACCCCACCAGTGATGGCAGCCTACGCCAGCCCAGCCAGGGAGACCGCAGTTCCAGGCGAGTAGACCGGGACCCAGCCAAGACAGGCACCCCACTACCCATGGGCGAGGGTGGCACACGACTCCCCGGCGAGAGGGACCCCCGCCCATCTCAGAGGACAGCCAGCGAACAACAACCCGACCCGGATGACCCCAGGCACCACCCGACGGTAGACCAGGGACTAGGGGGAAGGGAAAGCCGACAACAACCCGGCCAGGGAGACCTACACCACCCCGGCAGGGGAGACCTCCGCCGCCCCGCAGAGGTAGTCCCGCAACAACATCCCGACCAGGTCGACCACCACCAACCAGATGGGGTAGACCAACGCCAGCCCAACCGAGGGGACCAACGCCACCCCTGCGAGGTCGGACAGCACAACGCAAGCCAGCACCACCTGCGGCCGGCGGACCGGACCCGAGGGCACCGAGCGGAACCACCACCCAACCGGCAGCAGGCCGAACCGCGACCGAACCGCAGCGCCCGGGAGACCAGGGAGGAGCAAGCGACAGACTTACCGAGACTCAGATGCTCTTCCCGGGTCGGAACCGAGCAACTGAGACGAGGCGATAGATCCACAGGCCAGGAGGAAGACCAACAGAACCAGCCATCCAAGGTCTGCGGTCCGGCCGGAGGCGCTGGGGGTGACCCCGCTCACTCGACAGCCGAACCGAGCCCGGTTCCGGAGAGGGAACCAGGAGACGAAGGAGCCCTGTCCATCCAGGCCGGAGACGGAGAAGAAGTGAGACTGCGCAGGTCAGCTAGGGTGCCGAGGCGTCCTACGTACCTGCACGATTACGTGACTTTTGTGGACGAGATTGACAGTTCGGACTAAGTGGGGAGGAGTGTTATGTCCTTATAAGGACATCCGCCCTGATTGGCTGTTAGCCATCGGGCGGGAGATTTGAATCCCTGTCAAGGGGCGGTGCGTCTGCCAGGAGCGAATATAAGGAGAGCTCCGGCAGCGCACCAGCAGTCTTGTCTTGTTACTTTTGTAGCTAATACAGTTACTAATGTATCGAGCTGGTCACGTCTTCATTTCCTGCGCCTGATCTAACATAGATCATCTACATTACAAGGTATAGCAGAATAACAGAGTTGGAAAGATCTTGGAAGTCTTCTAGTCCAACCGCCTATTCAAGCAGGAAACCCTACCATTTCAGACAAACGATTGTCCGATCACTTCTAAAACAAGCTCCATATTTGAGCACCCACAACTTTTGGAGGCAAGTCATTCCACTGAGTAATTGTTCTAACTGGCAGGAATTTTCTCCTTAGTTCTAGATTACTCCTCTCCTTGATTAGTTTCTACCATTGCTTCTTATGCTGCCTTCAGGTGCTTTGAAGAATAGGTTGACTCCCTCTTCTTTGTGGCAACCCCTCAAATACTAGAACACTGCTATCATGTTGCCCCTAGTCCTTCTTTTCATTAAACTATGGTCATGGACTTGAGCTAAAGGATGCATTACCTGAACATTTAATATTACTAATACATGATAGTCTATAAATGGTGGGCTTTATTAGTAATATTTTAAAAAGCTGCACAGGTCCATAAAGGGAGAACTTTGAGATAATATCCTTGTCTTGGTTTCTCCTGCCAAAGTACAGGGACATGTTCAATACAGCAATTACGCTCATGCTGATGCATTTCCTCTCAAATTAATAAAATGAAACGAGTCCCCAAGGCCAGTTGGTTTAGTCCAGGACTATGTTCCTGGTTAATTAATTATTGTAGTGAGCCCTTTGTTGCCATCTAGCTTTAGTAGTTCCATGAGATTCAGACTCAGGAGAGAAGGGATGGTGGGAAGATGGTTGCCATACATACATTTCTTTACTCAGTCTGTAGTAAAGGCCAGAAGCCTGCTAGAAAAGTTTAAAAAGTGAGTGACATTTTATTCAAAAACTTCAGTCAAGATGTTAGAATTTCTCTTCAACCACAGTGGAAGAATAATATATAAAAGAAACAACAAAATAAAAAGTAGCTGTAAAAACTGTGTTCCAGGGTAGTTAACTTGGATGGTGGAGGGGACATTTCACATTTTTAAGTGGTTAGGGACTACTGTGGGCAGGGTAATAATGCCAAAGAAGTGGAGCCAGGATTTTCAAGGAGCCTCAGTCTGGGGAACAATTTAGGAGGTTATTTTGTTTCTTCTTTTCTCTATTACAAAATTAAATTTTATAGGGATTAAGATACTAAAGGGTTTTTCTCTATATGGTTTGCACCTTACAAAGGCAGGTAACTATTCCACCCATTTTCAGAAACTCTAGTTAAAGGTGGTTTGCTTCTTTCTTAACTGAATAAATCACAGCTGGGTAGGCAATACTAACTAATACATCAAAATTTACAAATCACAATTTATATCATATGCAAAGCTCAAGCTATATTATGGTTTAGCACAGAGTATGAATCAGGGATGGGTTCTAAATTTTTTTACTACCGGTTCTGTGGGCATGGCTTATTTTGTGGTGTGGCTTGATGGTCATGTGACAATTATTTAGGATTTAGCAGAGGTACTGGTCTACCAGGCTGTACCGATCAGCCCATTTATTTCTGCAGGCACTGGTCTACCCATTTATTTTTTGCAGGCACTGATCTACTCATGTACTTTTGCAGGCACTGATCTACTCATGTATTTTTGCAGGCACCGGTCTATTCATTTGTTTTCTTTTAACACTGATCAGCTGTAGGGCGGCCGCTTTGAAGCCCCACAGCAAGAGTTTAAACAGTTTTTTTCTCTCTAGCCATCAGCTGGGACTCAGGAGGCAGCAATAGATTGGGGGTGGGGCCAAATAAAAGGTAGAATAACGCGGGGGGTAGGGAGGGGGTGGAGGGGCAGGGAGGGTGGGTGGCGGGGGGGGCAGAACCGGTTCAGTGATGTCATATCGTCACCGCTACCGGCTCGGCCGAACTGGGCCGAACCAGGAGGAACCCACCACTGGTATGAATGCAGATAGAAAAAAGGCAAGCAGCAAGGACACCAAGGTAATTCTATCTACAATACTACAAGATTGAAAAAGAGAAATCATATGAGCTTCCTGAGTAAACCCAAAGGTTCAAAATGTCACTTTTGTCAGTAAAAATGAGTTTAAATTTGCCACAATGTCACAGGTGTCTTGTTTTATCATTACCATGAATTGAAAATGAGTGTGCAAGGTATATCTATTTTTTTTTTAAAAAAGTGTATTTGGAGGGGACCATATGCAGGCAGAGGCCTCTCAAGCTCCGGAAACAAACATGCTATTCCTTAAGATCTGAAAGCATTGCTCTCTATCCTCTGGCTTTTTCATTTCACTGTTTCCTATTAAAGAAGGCAAAGCCTAGGCCCTTCTCTATGCTTGTCGGCTGTCAAGATAGATTTGCTACAGCACCCATTATTTGTTGCTGAGAAGTCATTCTTCCAAATTAGAAGAGAAGTCATCCATCTGTCCAAAAGATTCTCGTGTAACTGAGCACCACTGATGAAAGAAACCCCTGTTGGCAAAAGCTGCAGCGTTATAATCACAGGGTTTGTAACAGATAACACCCAATGGCCGTAAAATTGGGAAAAGGATAGAACATTTCTAAAATTCAGTAAGGAGCAAAGACGATGTTTTCCATCCCTGGAAAATTAGCATATCATGGGGGATTTGTGTAGCACTCCACGCAGAGCCTCAGAGCTCATCTGACATCAGTTCCAATTGCCTTTTTGCTCATTGTTCCAGAAACCTAGACAGTTCAGAGAACAAGTGGAAATTCAGCTGTGGACTCGGCTTCTGAATTTCCAAGTGTTATGGAGCACAGAAGAAAAGTATCGGAAGAAAAGTGAATCACTCGCAGCATTAGAAGAAGGAGCAATAATGGAAAATTATTCCATACATTATTATCATAATAAAAGTAAACAAATACTGAATCTGTCTGAATCATGATCTAACATGGTGCTTTGTTCAACTTGTCACAGCTGGATTCTGGAATCTTCTGGAAGGCAGCCATTTTTAAACAACAGAATTGCAGTCAAACAAATTTATGTCTTTAAATAGTTGAGTGTTATTTGATCAATTGATCCATGTTTGCTGTGTGGTGGTGGCTGTTTTAGATTAATGAAATGCTACTTACCTTATTTATATTGTCAACAGCACACAGCTAAAGGTATCGCCATCTCTTATCAGTGATACAAAAGAAAGGAATAATGATGCAGAAAGACAATTTTCTGCTGACATTCAAATAAATTATATTTCAAAATATGCTTTCATATCCTGTGACAATGACTCAGGGCACTATATATGCACCAAGAAAAGTACAGCCCACAGGCATTTTATGTCAAATCTGACTTGCTGAAGTTTAAGGTGAGTCTGAACACATTTATATGTATGAAACCAAAAAGAGAGAAAAGAGAGAGAGAATTTTTCCTTGCTCCAGGCAAACATTAACATTATACCCTGAAGGAAT